CCTCAGTTGGAAATTCCTGTGATATAATATAAGTTGCATATTTTTTTTAAAATAGTATTTTCAAACTACAAAAGAACCAAAATATATTAATAAAACATTACGAGGCTAGGTGGCCTGTTTATTTTCTAAATTTGTACACATACAAGCTATTCATGTAAACATATCAAATACTTTAACTTTTCCCTGTCATATCTGACACTAAACTTGCCACGTAGCTCATTTCATTACAATAGTTCATTTGATTCAGATGTTACTTAAAAGCTTTCTTTGCAAAACTGCCTACTGCCAATAAACTGACAGTAAAATGAAAACAATTTAAACTTGTATTACATGGAACTCAAGAAAAGCTCAACGAAGGTACATGAAAACCTGCACCTTACGAGCAAAGCAATTTGATATAACCTATTATCTGATATCCTACATATTCTTGATATACTGACAAATTAAGGGAAGTGAGATATCTAACTTTTCTCTCCCAGCTTATATTTCAATGATATGTGACCAATAGCAAAGAACAATTTAGGGTAAGGAAATTGGGCAGAATAAGACAGTAAAGTTTGGTTTCCTGGACCATAGCCTAATCCAAATAATGGTTGATATTCATTTAAAAAAATGTGGGCAGAAGGAATATTTTAAGATTAATATATCTGGGCTGCAAATATATGAGTGCTTACTAGATGGCAGGAAAGAAAAGCAGGACAGTTTAGCTGATTCCTGCCATCTAATAATTATCTGGATTTTTACTGCCCCATGTGTACTAGCTTAAAAGGTGTTATGATGGTGCTCCCAGGTCTTCTAATTATAACTTTGTAAAAGCTAGTCACTCTGTACTAGAAGTGTTGGGTGCATTTTTGATCCCACTGAATGTAATCTTCAAATACATTTTATTTTGGCAGAATTACACAAAGATGTGAATAGCAGGAATAAGTGGACATCCAATGAGACAATAAAAACAGAACCCTCATTTTAAGTTTCGCTATTAAAAGCCAGTCCAAATAAAACTGTCTTGGAGAGTTAATTTGATACTAGATCTGTTAAATGACTCCCAATGAACAGCTTTGTGATGAATACAACCCACAGCATATAACACATACCTGTTTTTAAACAATGACAGCAGTTGCATTCCCCCCTCCCCAGCTGCTTTAGAAACTGCTCCCAATTGTCTCAACATGTGTGGTTATCTTACTTTCCTGCATGTTTTGAAGCACCTATTTCAGTGACTTTAACAGCCCACTTAGATGCTTCCCAATGGAATATTTTCTGAAGTAATACAGGTCTCTGTTTACTTTTAGAGTGCAGTGTCTGCTATAACAAGAGAAAAACTTCATGAATGTTTCTTCACTACATTTCTACTCAACTCCACAGTGAGAGAACCAGTTTTCCCTGAGCTGATATGTTTTCATGACAAATCTACTTACTTATGTATACATTTATTGAACAGAATTTGCAAACTGACAAATTATAAACACTCTAAGCAGGTTGCATCAATTCAATAATGAAAACTTTCTTTAAAATCACAATGCCAGAAAGTTGATATCAAATTAAAACAGAAGATGTATTCCAATTACAGTGAAACACTTGCAAGTTTTGTAGATGTTCATTTACAAAAACTTGTCAGAGGAACCACAGGAGGGGTGGTGGTTTCCCCATCTTAACACCTTCTTAACTAGGGGTGTCAAACTTGTGTCGTCATGGCAGCATTACCTGACATATTGGGACTTTTTTTTCTCCTTTGCTAAACTGAGCAGGAGCCTGGCCAGCGCATGATGCATCCAGGCCACGAGTTTGACAACCCTGCACTAGATCAAACTGGCTCTCATGTTTTTCTTATTGTGAGGGGTCCTTGGTGCCCTCTGAGTTTGGTTGTTTTCTTATAGATTCATTACCTAAACTAGTAACATCAGTGTACTGATATTATCTAATTTAGGTAATGAAATGTCTGTAATAAAACAACCAAGGCCAGAGAGTACCAAGAACCCTTCATTTCAGCCCTGAGCTACAAATATTCTCCTTTATTTTCTTATGGTAGCAGAAAAGAAATACGTCCATTATACTATCTGTGTGTACTATATGCTTCAAAGCTACTAATTACATTATTTTATAAATTTTAAATTTTATTTATTTAACATTTATTTATTAATATGTGGTATCTATTTTTAATCTATTCAGGACAAAAAGAAAACTAGTATGTAACTTAACATCCAATCTGGTTAATATTAGTAATGGCTTCTCCCTCCCATATATACAATTGGAAAATTAATTACATCACTTAAATCTTTCAATAAGATCTTGCCACAATTAGCTCTAGCTACATCAAAGGCCAAAGATATAACAAACTAATGATGACTTGTTTGCCCATAATGTGGAAGAGAAGGGAAACACAGCTCAATGTTTACATGCATAAAGCCATAGATTCAGCTGCTTCTGCAGTTAGAAAATCATGGAGAGATAAATAAGAAAAGCCTCTATTTAAGAATTTTGTAAACCACAGTCAGAATAGCAATATCACTATAGCAATAGTACTTAGACTTATGTACCCCTTTACTGTGCTATTACAGCCCTCTCTAAGTGGTTTACAGAGTCAGCATATTGCCCCCAACAATCTGGGTCCTCATTTTACTGACCTCGGAAGGATGGAAGGCTGAGTCAACCTTGAGCCAGTGAGACTCGAACTGCCAAACTTAGCAAAAGTAGCCTGCAGTACTGCCTTCTAATCACTGTGCCACTATGGCTCTAGACAACACTGGGCCAGAGGGGCCATCTGTCTTTGGATAAAACTATTTACCTGCTTAATAGAGAATCAGCAAGGGTTCCTCAGACTACTTAACACTTAATTCACCTAAAGTGACTGGCTGATATTCTGACACACTAGAAATAGGTGTAAGATGACAACTTTCTGTAAAAAGAGTTATTTCAATTGGGGATCATTTATAACCCAGACCTGCCACAGTGGTAAGAAATATATAGTAGAAAATATACAGTAGAAAGTTCTTTGCATAACATTGCTTGGAAGATTTCAACCACTGCATCTAAATCTTCACAATGGCTCCAAAAGATCCTCTAAAGAAAAGAAGTTAATGACTCTTAAGGACTATAGAAGAGTAGTGGGATTAAACAGAATCCATTGTTTCAGTCACCAAGGAAAGAATTGGCAGCCCACTTCTGTTTAACCCTTTTGCAGTGCAACATTCTTGGCAAAAACAAAAACAAAAAACAGTTTTCAAGCAAGAATGCCTATCAAGATCTTACTCATTTTTAAGCAATCCTATATTTAGATATCCTAAGTCTTTAGGCCTCCATGTATAAAGAAAGGAATTTGTTTGTTTGAACATTTGTATAAATCTCAACATGTTTGTTCCACCCCACTTTAATACACAGTTACTTAGCTCAGTAAAGGCCTTAAACCCATTCCTTACTCTTATTAGCTGCAGCTGCAAAGGCATTGGCTGACATGTTCTGTTTCTGCCAAATATTCCAGACCAGTTCATGTGTATCTGATTGCTTGCACCACCCTTTACTTTGCTTACATTCTGATACTGAAAGTAATTATCTTCTGGCAGACAGCAATGAGCATAGGAGAAAGATATTTCTGGAAACATTCAGCAAATTGATTAACAAGAATATTTGCAAATTGGTAAATTTTATAAGGAATATTAGAATAAAATAATTCAAAGGTAAGAATGGTGTGAATCAATTGATGATATCCACAGACTATATTACAGTTTCCTCATGAAAATTACATTTTAAGTAGAATTCTTCTGTCACAGTTCCTTTTTATGTGCTTCTTCTGTGCTTCCAAGAGACAGACATTTTACAGTCTATTCAACTGACCTATGAATTCCATGACACCTTCATCAGAATGTTCAGGCTTATGGAAATAGGCAGGCAACCAACCCACTAAAAACCCAGAGCAAAACTTTGATACTCAATTACTCAGCTATTTTGCAACATTTCAAGGATAGCTGAAAACATTGGTTTATATTCATGAATTAGCATTCTGCCTAAATCCACAAAATGGTAGGTTTTTTTAAAAAGCTATAGCAATTCCAGCAGCTGCAGAAAAAGCAATTCAAGGTAAGGATAGTCTGAAAATTCTCAACCCTGGGAGAAGAATGGGGGAAATCAGGGATACATTTAGTTTATGTTTAGTTTATGTTATGTATATCCTTGCAAGAATTACCCATTCTTGTAAGTATTCCAACCTTGTTGGAAAATTGCATTTGTCTTACTTACCATCAAGCTAATTCACAGATAAGCTGAGCTACTTATACCCAAACTGGTAAAAAAAAAAAAAAAAAAGGCATAATGGCAAACTTAAGATTTGTTAGATTATGTGAAGAGAAAAATGATTGTTTTACCCAAAGATTCGCATTACAGCAAATTTCTAGCCTACAGACTGAGTTTTCTCAAGCTGACTAATTAAGGCAGTTCATTACCAAGAAGAGATAAATTTCTAAAAGTCTCCCATGAAAAATCAGGTTGGAAGCAAAGACTTGTTCCACAGCTTATTAGAATAAAGACATTAGCAAAAACATTTTAGAACATTTATACTACTTTGTTAGGAGTTGGGAAAAATGACACATTTCCCCAAATAAAATGGAAAAACATCAGAAATTTAGGATCAAAGAATCACTGGGAGATGAATGGTGGCTGGTTCTTTTTTACCATTTTAATATTTACTGGGGCGTTTTTCACAGGGAAGCTGGGGACATTTGTACAGTTTGGGTTTTAATCAGACCTGGAGGAGAATTTTATGGCTTCTCAAATTTGCCTTTCCTTTAAGACAATAATTACCAGAATGAGCATTAGAAAGCTTTTAAATCTTGTTTCCAGACCTGAGTCAAACAAACCAGTGACAACTCACCAGACAACTATTTTTTGAATGAGCAAATGAAACAAATCAGTTAAATTTATATGCTTTAATTAATTCAAATAAAATCCAGCAATATGCCTCATATGCAAAATATTTGCAGCTTTAAATAATTATCGTTTTCTCTTACCTCTTTGTTAGCTCTATCTGCTTGTACTAAAGTTCCATTCAAGCATGGTTCTACATAGTGGAGTTTTTCATTATACTACAGAGAACAGAAGAGACATTTAATATAAACATCCAAAAATATAATTTAAGATAATGAGAGAAAACATGAAAAAAACAACCTAAGAATCTATCATTGAATTCATTGCTTTTATTCACATACTTCAAATCAGGGCTGTCAAACTCATGGCCTGTGCCCAGATGGGTCATGCGCTGACCATGCCCAATTTAGCGAAGGAGGGAAAAGTCACAATACATCACGTGACACTGCTGTGATGCCTCAAGTTTGATACCCCTGCTTTAAATGTACTGTAGATAGCCCTCAACTTACAACATTTCATATAGCAACTGTTCAAATTTAACAGCACTGAAAAAATCCGACAACTTGTAACATCCACATGGTCACATGTTCAAAATTCAGAATTCAGGCATCTGGCTCATATTTACAGTGTTCCGGGATCACTTCTGGTAACTTTCTGCAAGCAAAGTCAATGGGGAAGCCAGATTCACTTAACAATTGTGTTACTAACTTAACATCTGCAGTGATTCACTTAACAACTAGGGAAATTAAAGTCATAAAATGGGACAAAATTCACTTAACAACTATTTCAAAGGTGCTTTTTCAAGAGGCAACTGGGCTTTCTAGTTTTTCCTTGAAGACATTTTGCTTCTCATCCAAGAAACTTCTTCAGCTATTCATTCTGAAGAAAGTTCTTGGATGAGAGGTGAAACATCTTCATAGAAAAACAAGAAAGTCCACTTGACTCTTGAAAAAGCATCTTTCGGACAACCATGACCTGGATGAGTGAGAATCTCCATAGACATTCACTTAACAGCTGTCTCACTTAGCATCAGAAATTTTGGGCTCAATTGTGATAATTACTTTGAGAACTACCTGTGTTGTCAGTACAGCTTTAAACAAACATTTTGAATGGTAAATGAATACTGAAATAAGTCGGAACCATGAAGTGCAGCAGGGACAGTTGAAAATCAGTACTGTAATAGTTAAACTGCTAAGATGAAATCCATCAACATCAAATGACTGGATTAAAAGAATCCCCTTGTAATTCCTCCTACACTCATAAAATCTACTCCAGTGGTGAGCTAGGTTCAAGGGGGAGGGTGTCAAATAATAAAAGAAATCACGCCCAATCACTGTGACACCACAAACCATGTACAAAATAGGACCCTGGAGATGACATTTTCTTTTGTATCAAAAGCAGATACCTTAGTGGAAATACAGGATTGAATTTAACTAGATACTTTGGATATTGACTGACAACAACCCTACAGGCTGAAAGGATCTACAACCCAATTTAACTTCTTTTTTAATTTGATCTCTCTTAGCAAGTATTTTTTTTAACATGCATTAGATTAGATAATAGTTCCATCCTAAATGGAAGAAAATTACAAGGTTTTTTTTTTTTTTAGCCTCCTTTCCTCTTTGTGCTCTCTGAAAAACTGCTCTTCGGGGTATAGTAATGGACTTGATGAGTCTACAAGGGATTTGTTAATAAAGAAGAGAAGAGCCAAATAACAGTTCACTTGGATCTCTTATAATATGTATGACCAGCTAAATTTTCCTAAAAGCATTTTTGGGGTGTCTTAACTCTTGATAACTACATGAGTCCAAAGAGGTTTTTTGGCAACATAGTTTTAAAAGAAGTTTGTCAATGCCTTCTTCCTAGGTAAGAGGAAGAGATTGACTGGCTCAAAGTCAGGATTAAAACATACATATATCTCCTTCTTTCTAGGCAAAGTCTTTTAACCATTAAACTTTCTATGTCAAACATTACTGAATACTAATCAATATTTTTATATGTCCATTTACTTCAATAACGTTTATTTCAAAAGACTTAGTTTCAAAATGATATCTTATGGAAGGTCAGTGTATGAACATATTTTTGTTCTGATAGACCCTGTGTCCATTCAGATCCCATATAATATAATTCTTCTCTGTCCGTTCTCTATGAAGATGACATTTGTTCTCAGAAGACTGACAAATGCTCCTCATTCCTGAAATAACCCTAGAAAACAACATTCTATATTTATACTGTTTAAAATATCTTGTAGTGCAATTAAGAGATCATAGCCATGATTCCCAGCAGAGCACACTCAAGTGAATGTTGAGAGGCACAAAATTAGCAAAATACTTTTTCAGTCAAGTCTGATGGCATTTGAGAGGAAGTGATACATTTGTTCTTCTTGCACCAATCATTCAAATTGAGTTTTGTTTTAAGATTGTTTAAAAATCAGTCTGCGAAGTCAGATGAGCCGGTTGCAAATATACTGTGTATCATTCAAAATGAAAAATCCAAGTCTGAATACAGTTTAGGCCAATTTGATATCTTATCTTTAGTGAAAATGAAAATTTCACTTTGAACCCCGTAACATTTTTTATGGTACTGTTTACCATTCATTCTTTATTTATGTTTTAAAGCTAAAATTACTTAGGACTAAATTTTCTTCTGTTATGGTATTGTCTGTCCTTCTTTCCTTCCTCACTTCAATTATGTTTTTTTCTAATGCACCTTATAACTGTTCCATGTTCAACTCATAACACGTCCCCTTCCCCGGGGTGTTCAATGTCAGAAGCAATTTCAAAGCTGAAAGGAGAGAGTTCCAGTGTCAGTTTTCTCCTTACCATAAAGTCCTCTCTTTTTGTCACAACTGTGTTGCATGTCCTTCAAGCTATCAGTTTAACTACAGTATTGTTTTACCCTGCCTGTTTACATGTTTCAGGAAGGACCTTTCTTTCTCAATACTTCTTAGAGGTACCAAGAATTGAGTTAGAAACCTTCTCTCTGGCAGGAATGAACTATTAATGAATTATAACCATTATTTAGTCATTCATTCCTGAAATAAGATGACAATTCATAACCCTTTCTTTTAGCTTGGCAACTCTTACCTAGAGACTTAAATGAATCCTACAAATCATTCTAAGTTCAGCTAAGACTATGCCTCTCAAGATTCTTCCATATTGTTTTATTTTACTTCATTTTCTTTGTTTGCTTATTTATTCAATGTCTTATAGCTGTCTACCTTGAGCAACTGTCTCTGGGCAGCAAACAATCATTTATTGCACACAAACTCAATAATAATCAATAGGCTTTCTTCTTCTGAATTCATTTTTCTTCTCAAATCTTTTCTATGAAAAACTTAAATTAAATTTAGAAGAATTCTGAGATCATTGTTCATTTAAGAGATAGCCTACTTTTCTATAAAAAACGTTTTCCCCAGGCAGAATTAGCACTCTGTTTTATGATAACATGATAACAATTTAATGCTTCACTTAGAATTTCACTTCAAAGCAAACATTTCTTTTTCATCACTGCAGACATTTCAGTTCATGCACTGCTGATCTGATCTTATACTTAACTTAAACTACAGAAAAGCAAATGCATACTTTAATAGTTCCTTTGGTAATGCAATCATCTACAACAGTCCATCAATTTTATATAGTTTTTGCAATAAGTAATCCCTGAAAAACACACCTTTTTTTGGTTGTATTATCTTTTTATGGTTACTTTATGCACTGGCCTATTTGGTGACTTTATTCATGGATCTACTTAGAAACAAAATTATTGGCAGATGAAATGAAACCAATCCAGTACACATAAGACAACACAGCTGTTTAATTATAGGACTTCAAAACCACCTCCATACTCAATTGAATTTGCAATGATGATCATGTTCATCTCCCTTTATAATTAATGACAATTAGTGAGAACTAGACAATATGTGACCTGTTGGGTCATTGTTTCATATATATTTCCTTATCTAAAAAGAGAAAGAGAATAACCACATTTAGGCAAAACCGCAGTGGGAGCAGGAGCAACTTCTGACTTCCCCCCAGTTTCCCCATTGAATGTCCTTGTGGGAAACTTCTTTCCTTCTTCCTTCCTTCCTTCCTCCCTCCCTCACTTCCTCCTTTCCTCTCTCTCTCTTACCCCTCCCTGGTGTGGGGGAGGAAGTGAGGATTGTGCAGGGGTACAGGTCAGGAATGGTACATGAAGGTGTATGAGAGGTGCTGCATAATTTGGAAAGAATATGTTGGTGTGCACCAGAGATGGCATATGGGTCAGAGAGGGCATGTGGGTGGGCAGCACAGGCTAGGAAGGGAGCTGGGGCTGCATGACAGGTGCTATGTAGGTCAGAGAGGGCTGCATAGATGCAGTGTGAGTCAAGAAGAGTACATGGGGGTGGAGTGTGAGAGTGTCTTGGTCACAAAAGGTACCATGCTGGTCACGGATGGTGCATGGCTGATGGTATGGGTCGGGAAGGGTGCATGTAGAAAATGAAAGAAGTGCCACAGGGAAGGCCTGAAGGAGTAGCACCGATCAGGCACAGATCTATGGATGCACAAGAGGTACTGCATGGGTCAGGGAAGTCCATGGGTGTGGATTGGAGAAGACATGTAGTGAAGTGACACAGATTAAGGGAGAATGTGGGGAGTGCCGTGGGCCAGGAAAAGTTTTCAGGGATCCCTTCCGACCTTCCTTCTTCCCTTCTCAACAGAAAAAAAATGGGTACTGTTAAGTGTGGGTGGAATGGGGAATAAGGGATTGCAAGATAGACTGGAAAATTATCACAGAATGTTAAAAATGAAGATCATGGGCCCTCAGCAAAAGCATAGTAGCAGCCAGTAACACTGAAGCAAGAACAACTTTCCCAAATTTTATTTCTTCAGGAATCATGGGTCCCAGATTTTGGACACATTCCAGTTAGCCAGGAGTGTCAAACCCGTTCACACCACAGGCTGTATTGTGACATATTGCAATGTGTTTTGCCTTTGTAGAGCCAGGATGGGCGTGTCCTGCATGTGCCGTATTCGGCCCACAGGCCACAGGTTTCACAGGCCTAAGTTAGACCATTTTAGGTTCTTCGGTTGAAAGAGTTTTGTCATATGGTGCACTATTTTATCCAGTTAAAGGACATGACAATGAGAATTTTAGCAGTACAGTATGTAGATTATAGAAATCTGTATCTGTTGCAGCTCTCAAAAACGTAACATAAAAATGTCACCAGGAGGGTGATAAACAAATCTATTATGTATATATACAGGTAATCCTTGTTGAGAGACCATTCGTTCAGTGACCATTTAGAGTTACAATGGTGTGAACAATGGGTATTTACAATGAGTACAATGCAGCCACTGCAGCGTCCTTATGATCCGGTAATCACAATTTGGACACTTGGCAGCTGGCTTGCAATTTCATCATCCTGCAGTCCCATGACTGCCATTCATACCCTTCTTCGCCAGTCAATAGAGAAGAAAGCAGGAAGCCTCAAGTGGCAATCATGTGACTACATGCCACTTCAACTGTGCAGGGTTTGCCTAATGGAGGTAACTGGGACTACTGCAACTGCTGTCATAAATGCAAACATATGATGTCACATTTTATTCCACTGTCAGATAGTGACAAAGTTGCTGGTCCCAATTTCATACAAAAATGACAGAATCAATTTCATAAAACAAGATTTATGTCCAAACCCGCATACCTTTGCCTAGAAGTTCCTATACAGATGTGCAAAAATGTCTTATGTATTTTCACTATTAAATAATCAAACTTTCACTACTTTCAGATTTGCTTGTAATATTAATTTGGCTGTGCTTATAACTACTCTAAATTGGGTCCAATAAAATCCCCAGAAGGTTTTTAATAGCAGCACTTTATATTATTAAGGCATATGTAGCAAGAAGCCAATGTAAGCTGGTTTAAGGGGTAAACCAATCATGGTTTTATTAAATTATTATATTTGAACTGATGTCTATCGATGATATGTAATTACTTCATGATTGAACATGAAAGATCTGGAACCAGCTTGTAAATGGATTTCACTGATAGCCTATGACAGAAATTGGAAATTGTTCATCCATCTGAATTCACAGACAACTGATAGGCTGTTATTAGAACTGAATTGGATGCAGTGGATTGAGAAATTTATTTCAGACATATTGTGATTTCCTAAGTTGTGAACTTCCACTAATAAAAATATAATTACTAACTGTAGATAAATAAGGGCACTATAATGATATATATGACATAAATGTTAATGTTTCCTATTTGAGAAAGTAGATGTGCTCTACAGGCTTCTGAAAGCAAATTTCCAGTAATTATAGAGTAGTGATATATATATATTACTATCTCTAAAAATTTTGATTCCTAAGCTACTCCATAAAATAGTAATGTGCATAATCAATTTAAGATTGTAGAAACATATCATTAAGAAAATGTTTCATTGTGGACCAAGAATTAAATCTTATTTTAATAAGAGCTTCCAATCTAAACAATAGTTCAAAAACATATTATGAAAACATATATCGGCTTTTAATTTTTTGTAATTTGTTTCACAGCAGTCCTAAATACTGTGGCTATAATATTATCCCTCATAAACTGAACTAAAGATTCTAGCCTTGGAGAATTTTTGATGTTCAATTCTTCCTTCCATCTTCTCTGTCTCGATGACCAAGTACTGATGGAAGTGGAACTGCACAACCTCAGGTGAGGATTCTTATAAATGATTCCTTCTCACCTTGCCTATTTTGAGCCCTCAACAATTTTGAAAGCCTCATCACTCAAAGAGGCAATAAACCTTGCCTTTGCCCTTAGAGATATCATTAGATCCTTGGAGCACTTGACTATCCATAGAACAAGTTTCCAAGGCATTATTATAAGATTAACAGCTCAGCAATTTATGAATGTAGTGTTCTGTACAAGTTTGTTTACTAGCAGAAATGTTGCTTTACTTCTCATATACTATCCTTAAAACTGGTATGTTTATTATTGGGGCAATATGTGCCTGTTAATGACTAATTGACAATAGAATTCATACAAGGAAGTATGTTACTCCTCATCTCTTCTTGTTTTAAGTGCAGAGTCAATCTGTTAGAATAACAGTTAGGACCTTTACTCAACTGATATACAATGCTACAATGTTGTGTTGTGATTTCATATTATAAAAAGATCCCATGTCTCCCTTTTCATGATTATCAGATGTAAAGCAATTCACTTTTCTGCAGTTAAGGTCTTCCACTAGTGGATATGTATGCTCAAACTGCCCTTAATCACTATCGTACAGAAACTCTGGTTCTTGCTTTTCAATAATAAAATAATATTTTGTATCTCCAGTTTCCTTGGTGAATTACATTTGTGAAGTTACTTATTAATCTGTTAAGCTCCAGGCAAAGATATATTTACTCTTCCAACTTTGAAATATTTTGATATGTGTAAATTGTATGCTGTATATTAAACCTTTTAATTACTGTTTTGGTGAAAACTATAATTATGCAACGTTACAAGCTATAAAATTTTCAAGGATGTGCTTGTGTGTGTATAAAGAACCCCAGAACAACATCAATAATAAAAGAACAACTTAATATGAAAAAGAACATAGTGATACTCACAGCAATTATATTAAAAAAGTCATCATCTCCAAGGGTATCCAAAATGGAAGATACTGTTTGTTTCGCAATAGTCAAGCGAAGTCCTTTCATACTGCCACTAACATCAACTAAAATGACAACATCTTTAGGAGAAGTGGCTGCCTGAATATACCTGGATGACAGGAGAAGAGGAATAGGGAAGAATGTAAATTGAATTCATTGGAATCCACATTCAGGGCCACTACTAACCAATTAGGGGGCGTGCATAAGCGCACCAACGTGCCTACCGTCCCTGTCCTATTGTTTCTCTTATTCTTTATTTTTCTTATATGTAACCATTTCATGTATTCACAACTATGTATACATTTATACTTATTGTCTTGTAAACAATTGGCAAATCAAATAAATAAATAAATAAATAAATACAGGACATTAGGAAATTAGGAGGAATCCATGTGAACAATCGTTCTCCTGTTACAAGTCAGCTATGCCTGTTTGTCAAGATGACTCAGAACTCTCCCACCTACCAACAGATTAACTCACTTTTTGTTCTTTTGCCTAGAAACACCAGTGTCACTGATTCCCTTCCTTTTGCTAGTTGTGACATCCTAGTGCAGGGCACAACTTAAACAACTATCCACAGTGGCCCTTTCTACCAGCTTAACTTTTTTGAAATTCATAATCAGAACCTACCATTTTCGATTTCTGCAGTCAAATGCAATGACTCCATTTTCATCTGGCTCCCATTTAATTCCTGGAGTGGAGAACAATATTACACCATTAGAATTCCCAATGTATGCTTTCTTCCTTGAAATTGCTTCTTTTGTTTTAATGTATTGACCAAATTGGCAAGCCCAGTCAAAAGTAAACCCTGTTGTCTTCAAATAAATTTAATCTTAATCACCAGGGCTGTCTTTCCACCTTCTCCAAGAGCTCTGATACTGATGTTTTCTAAGATTGCTTAAATTCTGCCAGGGCAAGAATCAAAGAGAAGAGGAATCTCTCTCCTTTCATCACCCCTACCCATTTGTTGACAAATACATATGTATCAGGTTCAGAAGTAACACTATATACAGATTAATTGGGAGTATATCAAAAGCCAGAAAGCCTGCCTAGGAACTGGCATTTAGCTCCTAACCTGCCTTTTTTCTAGAGAGAGGATAATAGGATAAGAATCAAAATATTTTTTCTAGCTATGATGCAAGTAGAATTCAATGCTTTATCCTAAGAAAGCTAGCCTGGGAGCACCAATTATATGAAATATTTTTATCTTTGACTGGGTCATTTCCATTGCTAATAATTATTATTTATACCATATTTATATGGTATTTCAATATGCATAGTATTTTATCTATTCATTTCATTTGTTCTCTTAAATTATGAACAAGCCTAATTATACTTCAGTAATGTATTAGTAATTGTGCTAAAATATAATGATTGTCCACATTTTCAATTTAAAGGATTGTGTTCCCATTCCAAGAAATCTAGGTATTCACAGGACATACAGTATATTATTCTGCATAAAAGCAAAACAATCTTTTACTAATATCTCCTTAATTTATGACATTCCCCCCTATGAAATTACTACCAGAAGCAGAGTTGGTAAAAGTTACATCCAAGCTACTTATGGGCAAAGTTATTCTACCCATATTACAGTAATCTCAGGCTGCCAAAGCTTCCAGCAGAAATCAGCAGAAGAAGGAATCAGATTGATTTAACTAGTTAGCAAAATCATTATTTGGTAGCAGAGAAGAAATGGCATGGTAACATTTAAAGTTAGGACATTAGGAAACAGTTAAGCCATTTTAAGCTCCCTTTAAAATATTATTTTTAGTTATGAGCTTTTATTGTCACAGCTGTGGAGTCAGCACTACTGCAGCCTTAAGTCATGTTTTCTAAACTCCTAAGAAAAATTAAAACTTCCTTTCTATTAAACATTCAAATACTGTTACAGCAGGGGATCTGTCCTAAGGGTTTCAGCTGTTTCCAACAAGAAAAATAAGGAAGTTTGCTGCTTCAGACAGACTTGGGAGTAAAAGAAACAAAAAGTCAAAAAAGGTCCACTGAAAGACTGATATTAAAACTCCTTGACGTTTTGAGGTTGCGTTTGTTCATCCTTTTCCAAAGAAGAATTGATATATTATCATGGTGAAATACTTCTACCGATGCTGCCTGTATTGCCCCATACCATAAGTAACCAACTGCTCCACTCTTTTAGGAACAGCAAATAAATGCATGTAATAAAAGGAGGAAAGAAAAGAAGCACGTGCATTTTTTGTCTTACCTGGATACTGCCTGAAAAATCCCTTTGCGCTTCCAAAGTACTGCCATATAAGGGAAGGGTCATGGCCAAAGTTGTCAACAAACACTTTGTTTAATGATTCGGACCAGTAAACTCCATTCACAATTGCAGGATCTGAAAAAAGAAAAGAAAAAGAATCAGAAGTTCTAGTGTAAGTTAGTTCTGGACATTAGATGTTTTAAACTAGGATCTGAAAGCATTTTGTAAGACACGTCATAGACTTCAAATGATACCAAAACCCAAAAGACAGAAGAAAAATTGTCTTCAGAATGAATGCAATGAATATTTCTTTTGAGGGAATTTTCTGAATCCATCTCTCCCTTCACCTTCTGGAAACATTAATTTCATGGTTTTGAATATTGCCTTCCTATTTTTGTCATTCTATTCAGGTTTTTGTTGGAAGCATTTCTTCACTGGTGGTTTATTACCTTGACATTGTTGTGGTGATATGAAGATTCTTCATTCAGTAATGACTGAATGATGTCATTAAATTGCTTGTGTGGAAATGCTCTGAAATTGCCATTGTGAATGTATGCATACAGTATTTTGATTTTCTTGTAAACCATTCAGAGATTTTACTAGAATGAATAAAGAGAAGAAATATAACTTTACTGGAAAGAGAGTTAACTTATTACTTCTATTTTATTAGTTGTTAACTCCATCAGCAAAAGAAATTTTATCCTGGAAAACTTTCAGTTGGAAGCAAATTTCAGTATTACTCTCCACTGAAATTCATGAAGGGATGAGTACGAACAGAAATGTCTTTTCCTTAAAATAATCTATAAGGACTGAGGATTGCAATGGAACTGGAGCTACTTCACTAAAAGAATGAGCTGGCTGGAGCATTTCTTTTTCCTTTTTCTGAAAAACATCCTGTACAATTATTGAGGTAAGAATATATTTATAACCACACAATATCTAGAATGCCCTTGTGGCAATACCATCTTGACTTAAATCCCATCAGATTGACATTTCAGGACTTTGTGATTTTCATTACCAGCTCATTAATTCTAGCCTTAACTTCTCAAACAAGTACATGAAAAAGGCCTCAGATGTATAGAATTCTGGTTGCCCGTGGAGTTACAAAATTCTTACAACCCTACATTGCCATAATAAATCAACTGGCAATTTCATCTGTCCGTGTTATAAGCACAGAAGAAATCTGATTATCTTCTGTACCAGAGGTAATGCTTAATATTTACATGTGGAGCAGAGAAGTGCCCCATCATTTGATGCAGTACTTCACTGACTTGTAAACTAATGGCTGGTTTCAAATTACTTAAGTTTAGTAAGATCATTTTAATGAAGTGGAAAGACGTGAATTGTTTTGTATGAGAACATTCATCAGGGAAACACTGGGGATGAGGGCACAATGAAATGTCTCAGCTGCCTGCCTTTGAACTAAACTTTCATCTAAATATTTATATTTACAAGCACATGTTGCACATAAAGAATATAAGAAAATATTTCTCTTAGAGATAAATGCCTTTATAAATAAGACATAAAAAAATTGAAACTGCCAATATTTGAGGCATCAAGGCAGAATCCTACATGTGTCCCAACCATAATTTTGACTCAAAACAAACTAATGTCCCTATACATTTCCAACATGTTTAACAGGGTATGTATCATTAATTTGGAAGGGAAAAAAACTACTGATGTTTACTATCTGAGGCATAACTGCCAAATTTCTAATCTTGTGCACAAATGACACTTTCATATACAGAGTTCATGTATCTATCTTCCCACATATGTTCTACCAGCCCTGGAAGCAGATATTTGATATATGAACAACAATTCCAGATGTTCTACAGTTAGGAGCTAATCTTTCTGCTCTTCATTTCAGGGTAGCTAAAATCCTGTGCCAAGAACTGAATAGTGTGACACTGTTCTGGTTGATGCAAAGGCCAGGAAGAGCTACTGTGACCACTGGTCTACTGCCAAATAAAACATGGAGAAATACTAGTTCCAAACCTCTACATGCTGTGAATTGTTGTATATTTTCCTTTATCCTTCTGTTAGAAAATATGTGCAAACTCACAAAATGAATCCCAACACACAGTTTTACCTCCCCAACTGCTCGTAAGTTAGGCAAGGGCTTTTAAAGAATATTATCACTGACACATGGAAGAAATACTCAACTATCTACAGTTTTAGCTGCATCCATTCTTCTACAGCCATAACAATAAAGAAAGTTTCAGCCAGACATAATCTTGACTTTTATGACCTCAGTTTAACAGGCCCAATTTGACCATGCCAAATTCAACTTGGCACACGAGACTCCATCTTCACACTGGATATGGGCAATGGCAATATCTATGTCCCTTGAAAACATTAAGCCTCATGATATGCCATCCCTTTTAATGGAGCCTGAATGCCTCAAAATATTTAATAATGCTTAATATTGATATTTTCTGGTTTAGAATATGGAATGCATTTTAACCATGTTGTGAATTTAATTATGACTGATTAACAAATCATCTTTGGTTGTACTGTGTTGTGCATATATAGCAAAATCTCCTAGCTATAAAATCCCTCAAAGAAATATTGAAGAATAAATTTAAGGATTGATTGTCCTTGCTATAGTCTTCTTCTATAAACTACATTTGAAAAAGTATATTTTGTCAAATGAAAATGTAAATTATTAGAAAAGGGGTAAGCAGTGAAAAAGAAAAATGATAGATCCTTCCTTTTGTTATATTCCAGACTTATTAACTTTTGCTTCACTAGTTTTTCTTAAAAGTAATCACAAATTGCATTTTCCAGAAAAGTTTCCTCACAACAACCTTTCAAATAAAATTAGAATCTTTCTTCTATATTTTTGGTAAGGCACATGTTTTAATCTACAGTTTGTTTCCCTGTTATGTCTGTTGCTGTACTATTGATATTTAATGAAACAGGGGTTGTGGAGAAATAGGTACACTGTCAGGAATCTGAAATATAATTCCCAAAGAATAGTCCAAAGGCATGTAGCAATTAAAGATCTGTCATAAATATTATTGGCTCTCAGAAACAAAGGTGAAAGAAATGATGCAAATGTTAGACTTAGTCTGAAATAAAACTGAAGAATGTTCAGAATGAAAGTACTTTTCAATTTTTGTTCAAAGTAGGGCAGAAATTAGATATTTGCAACTTTACAAAATTACAAAAGGCAATATGTGAAAACAAAATAATTTAAATAATGGCATCTCAGTTCAGGTTAGTTTGATGTGCACAAATAATAATTTGTTTTCTAAGTACATTCTTTTTCTTAATTATGGGAAATACAGTAGTTTCATTTTTTTCTACATTTTTCAAGCTTTACCCATTTTGATAAATGGCAGTTTTACCAAAATTCTTCAGAAAAAAGCAGTGAAGTTGATAAGGGAACCAGAAACTGTACTATCTTAAGAAACTGAAAGAAACTGGAATGTTTTTAGTAATGAAAAGACTGAGGAGGTATAAGATATAATTTTTCAATTATGTGAAAAGATTCACATAGAAAAAGTTTGTGGGTTTTTTTTTCCTTTTGGATACTCATTGGTCCAAAGTACAGGCTGTATTACAATGGGGTTTAGTTATGGGTAAAGAGATTCTGACTGAATATTGGAAATGATTTTTAACAGTAGGAGAAATATGATAATGACACTAACTGATCATGGCACTAACTGAGAATTTATGGCTTCCTTTTCTAATGGATATATTCAAAGAGATGCTGTCAGGGATATTTTAATTTGAATGCTAACATGGAGTTGCAGTTTATGCCCTAAACATTTTTCATCCTCTTATCTCTTTTCATAGTTCCTCAGTATCTTCTTCATATATGTGAACATACGGAATCTATTCCTTACATAACTGTTATGTTTTGACTAAATCTTCTCCAGGTCAAATCTTGCTAGCAGACTTTTTTCCTTTGTTTTCTATATTTCAGCTTAATATTTCCCACCAATAAGGTATGGCCTTTTCTACAATCTGCATCGGGACTGCAGTTCTCCAGCTTCTGTTCACCATTATGTGATTTATTTGGTTCTGTTGTTTCCCATCTAGTAATTTCCACATTCATGTCAAAATGGTCATGGAAGGAAAAAAAAAAAAAAAAACGATGTAGCAAGAATGTAGCAACATTCTTCAAAAACTCCCAAAGATTGGTGTCCCTCCACCCCTATTTTGATTCAGGTGGCATTGTGACAGAATTATTATACCCTGTGGTCCTTGGCTGCCAAAACAAACATGCTAAAACAATTGGATTTTTTTGATCTGAAAGTAATTTGTAATGTTAATAGTTTATAAAATTATTACAGAACTAATCATGATATTTAGTAATAATACCTTGAGAGACTGGTGTGATAATTAAAGGCACCAGGCTACAAATCGTGAGACTGTAATTTTAGTCCTGCTTTAAATATGAAGCCAACTGGGTAATTTTGGGGCAGTCACTTTCTCTCAGCCCTCGGAAAAAAGTTGTGACAAACCACCTCTAAAAATGTTTATCAAATAAACTTCAGGGACTAGTTCAGAGCAGCCTGACTGATTTCAAAGCACTCAAAATGCCTTACTATCACCTTAGATATGGTTGGCAGCACTGTACATGACAGTTCTATTCCCATCATTAGAAATAGGCTAAACTTACCTAAATAAGACTATTCTTCAAGAAGGACAAATCTAGGCCATTGTGAAACGATATGAGTCTAAGGGAAATAGTATCTGAAAATGTGCATGATGTGATGTAGGGCTCCCAATTTATTAATGGGCTATACACGGTTCTTAGTTGATATTTCTCTGCTTGATATTGATCCACTTGTTCCTTCATAATAAACAACTGTCATGTGTACTGGCAGGAATGAAATACAGGTACATACTTTTACAGAAAGTGCAAGTGCAAAATTGTAGACAGCAAACTAAATAGCAAATAATTAATGTGCCACTTAATGAAATTTTAGTGTTTTACAGATATACAGTGGACTGTGGTGGACTGCTCTTCCCTTGCCTTCCCAAATTGTCTATCCAGCATATGTGAATTTTCAATGCCCGGAAGGATTACTATGAAAGGAAACAGTGAAATGAGTATGTATGTATGTATGTATGTATGTATGTATGTATAGATTCATAATGCAATGGCATCTTGTGTGCCAGAT